TCGGCCGGGTTCGATTTCGATGGCACCCTGTCGTACCAAGCACCGAACGGAAGAACTGCATCCATCGCGTTGATCACTGCCATAATCCTAAACATGGCCTCTGACTGGCTCGATCTCTTGATGAGCGTGGCCAAGGCGGAGTTGTTGTCCACAAAGACGAAGCCTTTTCGAGCGCATAACCGCTTTCCGAAATGCCATCTAGCGCACAAGACAGCGAAGAGCTCTATCTCGCATATGATCTGCTCCCCAACGGTCAAAAGCCAATGTTGCCGGATGTCTTCAGGGATGCATCCAGACAGTGCGAACCTCTCCTGCGTCTCAAGGTCACATAAGAAGACTCCCCAAAGAGCCTGATCGCCTTCAAGAGAGCCGTCAGTGTACACGATCACAGGTTCACGAGGATCGGTCACTCGCAAAGTCCTGGGCTTCATCGCACAGAAGACTGAGCAAAGCATGTCGTTGAGGCGAACAATGGCCTCCGAAGAAAACGTTGCCGGCCTCGCAGCCAACTTCGAGTACTCCCTCGCAATAGGCTTCAGAGCGGAGCCCAGGACGAAACCACTGGCGAAGTTCAAGAGTCCATGAAGCGAAGTGGCAAGCTGCTTAACGTTGGAATCCTGCTTGGTCAGTTGCTGGGCAATCGACTTGATGCGGTCAACCCTGCCTTCTTTGTTTCTAACCTCAAGAGATCCTTGGTGAAGACTGGAGAAGTCGAACTCCGCCCCCAAGGCAACCCACTGGCTCGCGAAATCCACAGCCTTCTTCCCGGTGGTGGCGTGAATCCACCCCAAAGCGTTGAGCAGCCGGGAAAACGAATCCGAAGCGTTAGCGGCCAATGGAACAATCTCGAAGGTCGGGTAATCGTCCACATAGACCGAGGTGACAAGTCCCAGCTTCACCACTGCTATGTGCCACAATGCACGGGAAATCTTGTTGAAGGAGAAAACCGAACCTGACCCACCAAATGGTAGACCTCGGGCCAAGTAAAAGGTCCATTTTGATTCTCGTGATGGCATGGCAATGACAGCGTATTTCAGCGAACATGTAGCCACCGGCACTTGCTTGTAGGCTTTAGAGAGGTCAAGACATCTCCCAACCCAATGCGCATCTCTGCTCTTAGGGTGCCACTCGCCTTCGAGGACCTCACCCGATTGAAGGGAAACACGCACCTTCTCCTTGTCGCTCCAAACCCTCGCTACGAAGACGAAGAGAGCCATGGAGGCGACGAAATCCAGGTCGTGAAGCTGCAGCAGGGATGTGGACCCGAACGATGCATTGACGCCCGAGTCCCTCAAGTTGTCAATGACACGCGGCTTTCTTGCCTCTCCCTGCAAGAGCAGGAATCTTTGACTTGGAGTCCACTGGCTGGTCCCCAACCTCTCAGTCACTTTCTCCTCGCAATCGAACGGCCCCTCAAGAAAACCCAATCGGCATTCTTCGTCTGTCTCATCATTCAAGATGGTCAGCTCCTCCTGGGACAACTTTTGAGGCGGCTTTGAGAGGAGCTCACGGCGCCTCCAAATGGCCTGCGAGTCAAGCTGCTCAGGAGTGGCCCTCATGGGCTTAGGCCTGGTCGGAAACAAAGGAGAAGGATCCTCGGCCCCCACAAGAGACACTCCCTCTTCCATGAAGCGGCAAACCTCCTTGTCCGGAAAACCAGTTTCCTCGATCAGCTCTCGAAAGAGCTGAAGACACTTGCCCCCCGTGATGGGGTGGTCTTCGCCAGTCCCAAGCTCGTTTGCCCTCGCCTCAATGCTCGAGAGGGTCTCATGCCTCATCTTCGCAATCTCCTCTGGGCCCTTGGTAGCCAAGTCGAAGATCGCCCTTCTTATGCAATCAGGGACGGTGCTTGCCGACTCCGCGGGATGCTCCAGTTTGGTTGCCAGATCAAAGTGTTCCTGCATCGTGTGATACACTCCCCAAGCCTTACTGGGATTCGAGGAGAAGACTGGTCCTCCAAGCTCGCCTTCCCCCGCCAAATTGGAGGGGCAGTCAGAGAGGCCGGGCCAAGCAAAGTGCATGTCACGAAGAACCGCCAGATCCCGGGGCGGAAGATGGTGCCAGTCACGAACAGTGAAGGCCACCAAGACTGTGCGTCGACCCTGGGCCGGCATAACCTGATGCGTGAAGCTGGTTTGAAGAAAGCACGGCCCTGCATGAACAGGCAGGGTTTGACCCTCCACCCGCACGCCGCCATTGGAAAAGCGGGAGAGCGGAATGATGACGTTGTAGAACTTGTGGTCGTTGTGTGCATCAACATGTTCAGGGCCATAGAAGTCGTCGAAGACGGCCAATGAAGAGTACACGGCACCTGGAGCAAAGTGCTGAACAATAGCCGCGAGAAGGCGGCACACGTGTGGCATAGATCGAGACACACTGTGAAGGCCCACCTGGGAAGAGAAAACATAGGCACCACAGGTCCATGCCAATCCGTCAGCTGTGGCCCCACGACGGGAGGGCTGAGATGGCTCCAAGAGATTGACAAGTTGCAAAACATCATCCTGCGCGCAGGTCTTCTGCTGGAGCAACGACCAAGCAAGCTTCTCGACCGCATGGGCATCAAGAGGAGCGGGAGAGTTCACAGGAGCCGGGCCAGTACACACAGGCCAAGAAGGGGTAGCAGAGCCTCTGGCCGAGGCAGTATCCGTGGGAGGCACCATGTCGGGCAAAGGCTTGGCATCAGGATGGGGCGCCCGGTCGGCCCAAACAATCTGCCGGAACTCAGGGATTAGGGTGGCATGCCTTAGGGTCTGGGCGCCTGCAGCAGCAAGCGTGTCCAATCGAAATTGCCGAGTGGTTTCACGGAACAAAGCCGGACTCACAGCAGCAGATGCCGCCTGTACTAGCTTTCGGCAGAAGACACGAGGGTATTGAGCCTCAGAAGAGGTATCGAAGACCCAAGTGCCCATACGCATCTTTTGTCCATAAGGAACATGAGAATGCCTCCCGTCGCAGGGGACCGAAAGAACCTCGAAGACCTTGGGCGTGCATCGAAGGCGTGTGTCCTTGCGGCGAGTTCCGCCGAACATGCAAAGGGAGAGGGACACATCCTGAAGCTCGAAGTACCAATCAGCGAATGCGGGACAAGAATTGTCACGCGCAAATCGGCAGATCAACGCAGCGAGAGCGGCCCAGGTCCATGCCCGCGCAGGGTTCTCGATGGTAACCAATGCGTTGACTTTCCAAGCAGCAAACAATGCCCGCACGCAAGTGCCATACACAGCGTTGGCAGCCTCGACCCGGAGACGTTCATGAGGCCTAAGATCAGGTAAACCCAAAGGGAACTTGGCCGATCGAAGCGGTCGAGGCTGTGGCACGCCCTGCGCCCGCAACGCAGAGCTGATGGGCAGCTGACGAGCGCGACTTCCAGTGCCACACGGCAGTCCAAAATGGAGCCAAAGGGGCCTGAGCTGATGAATCATATCGTCAATCAAGCGGTGCGAAGAAAGTGCGCCCAAATCGATGGGCAAGCAAGACACTTTGGGCTCAAAACGGTTTCCGTGATGATCAATAGGAAAAACCTGCCATCCTTGAGAGGCGGCAGCATGCGAAAGAGAGGCCGAGCCACAACACAGCTCGACGAAAATTGCAAAGGGAGCGGCGTCAGTAGTAGGCAGGCCTGAGCGGCCTAGTCAAGAGTGAGACAGTCCTTATGCCAGCAATTGTGCAAGCCGCGGTCGCATCGGGCTTTGGACTGATCAGGGCACTTGCCGTGCTGAAACAACACGCATAAGAACTGGCGAGTCTTGGGCATGCGCGAGACACAGTCCTTAGGCATCTCCTTCAGCAGCTGCAGGATCTCGGCACGCTTGGGGTCCACCTGAGCATCATCCCACTTGCGCTTCTGACCGCCTTTGTCGCCACGACCTTTGCCGCGACCACCACGGCCTTTGCCTTCGCGGTCACCTTTGCCATCGGCCTTGCCACCGCGATCGCCCTTGTCGCCTTTGCCTCCACCGGTGGCCTGCGGAAGGTTGGCCAAGCAAACATTGACACGAGTATGGGTCTGCAGGCGCTCGATGAAGACATCCAGGGGGGGTTTGACGCCCCCGATGACCTTAATGGAGCCACGACTTTCCTGAGCAAGAATCTACCACAGCTCGCGGTCAGCGTTCAGAGCCTGGGCAATGCTGGTGAACCTATGACCCGGTGGCGGGTCACGAGTCACTGAGTCAAACAGGTAAGTGTGCCACGCCTCCTGGGCAGCAAATGACATGAGGCCAATTTGGTCGAAGGCCAGCGCCCGTCGGGTGAAGGCCTCTCGAAGCCGAAGTTCTCCTCGAACGTCGCATTCCAGGTCGGAGTGTTTCTTCGATATCTTCAAGCCACCTTGAGCATCAAGTGTAACTTGTTGAGAAGGTTTGTCGCTGGAAATTTCCAACGCTCTTGATGGGCACTTATGCGGCGGTAGGTAGGTGAGCGTCCCGGAATCGACCATGGATTGGATTTTGTCGATGAGGCTGTGCGCCGGTTCCACCCGTTCGGTGAACACTATCCCGGTTAGCCGAGCCTTTTGATTCTGTAGGCGAGTCAAGCGCTCGGCCAAAGGAAGCTCTCGAGGCGGGTCAAGAGAAGAACGTTCCACCCGTGACTTGAGATCAGACAAGGCAAACGTGTTGGCCTCGAACCACAATCGTCGAAGATCAGGAAGCTCGCCCGGGGTGAGGTCACGAGACAAGAGCTTCTGTACCGCCTGAATGAGAGGGGTGTCATCGCCACTCTGCGGGCTGACAGCACAGATGTACGCCAGCTTTCCAAAGGTTTTGATCCCTGCGGCCTGAAGCGACTTGACGAAACCATCATCCATACCGATTTCTCGGGCTCTGGCCAAGAACTCGGCTTCCGACTCAAGCAGAGTGGAAGTCATGGCGTCCGTCCGAGGATCAGGCTTGAACAAAAACGTGTCACTCCAGGCGAAGGCTCACGACGGAGGCAGCAAGCATGGCTAAAACACAGATGCGCTGCATCGATGTTTGCGTCTCTGCTCGACCTTTCCGTGTCTAATCCCCCAGGACTCGCGCCAATCTGCACTGTTCGCAGAAGATGTCCTCGCGCGGCTGCTGGGGGTCGAAATTGCACGCATCGTAGTTGCTGTTCAAGGGTCTCCCGCATCTCAACAGTGAGGCTGGGACCATGACAGCGTGCACAATGGATGAGATCCGATGTCGGACGAAGGTGCCCGTCTCTGGCGGCTCAGGGCGATCAGACATCCCTGGCACCAGGCTGGGGCGCTCATCGATGCCGACGTGGTCTGCAAATGACACATCTGACTGTTCAGAATCATCAAACCTTTTCAGGTCTTCGACCCGACGATCCTCATCGTGGAATCGTTCCACAAGGTTCGCCATCCTTTCAGACCGGGACAGGTCTGGATCAAACCTGTCCGTACGGATTAGGTCAATCAGATGCTGGAGCTTCGACAAGACTGGGGCCATCACGTCTCTCCCGTATGTGATGATCATTCGCTCGTCGGGGGCGGAGTGGTGCCCCAGAATGCGCTTTTCATGCTTATCAAATCGACCGCTCTTTGTGGCCCATGACAACGGAGTGGATTTCAAGGCATGGGTCGTGACTCTGTCGAGGTTCCAAGACTCATCGGCATCGACTGCGAGAATCTCTTGAAGCCACGCACACCCTTCCGCTGAAGTCATGGGCCTATCCAACCACATCTCGGCTTGCTCCGACCACGCTGGCATAAGGATGTTTTTGGCGTCAACTCCTGATCGGGTTCGCGCTGACATCCATGCTGAGGCCCACGGCTCCGAAGAGAAGGTGTGCCCAAGGGCAATGAGGGGCATGAAAGTGGCCCGATCGTCTGCAAGCTTGGCTGTTTTGTGACCCAACATAACAGCCTCCACAAGACACACAGCTCCGTGGCTCTCGATGGTGAGATCGGTAGCCTTGGCCGCATCGGACCATCGGGCAACCGAGAACAAGCAGAACAGTGCGAACCCCGCTATGGTAGCGTGTAAGTCCGACCCCTCGAAGACAATCACCTCCATTCTCATGACAATGGGAACTTTCAGAGGCGGCGCCTGTCTCAATGGAGCCTTCTTGAGATAGCAGGAGTGCGCGGCACCCTCAATTCGCTGCGAAATGATGTCAGGGACAGCGTTGCTGCCGGTCATGTAGTGAAAGAACCTCCATGACGAAATGAATGCAGCGGGCGCCGTGGGAGCACACTCAGCGTCTCGCAGATAACAAACATAGAGGTACAGGTCATTCTCAACAGCATTCAAAGGTCTAGCATGATTGTCCTGGACCTGCCAGCGGGGGAACCTCAAGTAATCACATGACCTCTTGGAAAGAGTACTCGTAGACTTCCTGGCAAAGGCATCCATGAAGGTCATGGCAAGTTGGTGTTCAGGAACAAGCATTCCACTGGTCTCCAACAATGACCGCCCCAGCTTAGAGTCATTGGGATCGTACAGGACGATCTCCTTAATCCGGGCCAGTGCAGCCGAACGAAGCTGATCCTCCGATCTCGCCATCCTCGTGGCGAAAAGTCGTCTGGCTCTAAAAGGGTTTTCTTTGTACCAAGTTGGATCAGAACCTGCAGACGAAGACACCGCAATCTGAGCAAACATGTCTGATCGCCCAATCGTGGGGAGATGGAATGGGATGGCCACGAGCGGATTCCCGATGCTCCCAAAAATTGATTTGCCAAAACCCGACTCCCAAGGGAGTCTGATCGAAGACTTCCTCTTCTCCTCAAAGAGAGCCTGTGCCACTGCCGGGTGCACGGGTGCAGGATCTTTCCAAGCGGTCCTCCTACACTTGCTCGCACTCGGCTGGCACGGCTCAGCCGAATCGTCGACCCTTGCATCCTGATACCAACGAGCCTCATCTGATGCCACCGGCTCCACATGCGACCATGACTCATCTCTCTCACCCTCTCCAAAATTAGACCCCACACCAAAGTCAGAGTTCCAAGGTGAGCTCACATGGTCCTTGCGATCGGAGTCGTCCTGATCGAACGGTTCCTCGTCATGGCCAAAGCCCTGTGACGCATCGGGTCTGCCAAACATGGCTGTGCTCGGACAAAACTGCTGACCTGTATCAGTTGCAGTAGGCATCAATCGGAGTCATCGCAACATGTCTCAACATGGAGAGCACAAAGATCAATCGGGACGACCTTATTTTACATCACTGACTTGCCGCAACATCCGCGGTCCTTCTTGGCCTCTCCTGTCCCCCGCATACAGTCAAGAGGACTGCGCAGAGGAAAGAAACTCGGGGAAGGCCTAAACCACAAAGAACCAGGGGGAACCGGGAAACGCAGGGGCATCCGGCTGCTACGGGTAGAGCCTAAAGAAGCGCCTCAAGCGAACATGAGTAGTACGCGCGGCTGCCAGCAGTGCAATCCAGGCCTGCATGTCCAGGTACACAAGGGCCCAGGCGAAGCGGTAGCTGGCAGTGAAGGAGACCAGATGTCCTCGCGCGATAGCATTCCAGAAAGGCCGACGGCAAGCTGCAAAGCGTCGCAACCGGACAATGTGGAAGAAGTAGGGGCGCACTCGCACAATGACAAAGGCAGTCGGATCCCCAGAGCTGTCAGTCGGCAAAGAAGAACCCGAACCGGAAGTCGAAATGGAGTCATATGAAGATCCCCGAAGGCTGGAATCAGCCCGAGGCCGCGGCACATCCATCGGAGGCTGATCGCAAAAGGACAGCGCAGTTCTACAGAAAGCAGGATACTTCTTGACAACATGAACGTGACGTGACATGAGTGTGAGAAATCTACCCCGACTCCGCGTCTCAGCCGAAGGCCGGCACGGGCAAGATAGAATTCGCATGCCACGAGGGGTCGGGCTAGGGGCTGCAAGCAGAACAAGGCATCCGCGCGAAGCTAAGACGACTCTTGCCTGATTGTTTCGCGACTCCCAGAGCCAAGTCGATCACTCGGGGGGCATGAAGTGAACTCGCTGCATGCGGGAAGAACTCACGCAAGCACGGATTTGTTTTGAAGCTCGCTGATCAGCGGTGATCTGAAACACGGTGGCCTACAGAACTGAGGTGCTAGCACCTTCGAGGATCCAGCACGCCCACAAAGACTATGGCCGAAGCCTCAGGAGATCCGTCGGAAGAAACCAGGAGGCCACCGAAGGAAACCATCACGATCCACGGCTGCAAGAGGCGACCAGCTCAATCTCGGGGCACAAAAGCAATTAGGCATCACGCTGACGGCGCAAAGAAGCAGCAAAGCGGCGAGTGAACTTGCCCTGCAATACCAAATGAAGAGTGCGTCTATAATTTCTCAGAGCAAAAGCCTCAAGGCTCTCGGCATGATAAAGCCGCTGACCTCCAGATCGCAGGTGGATGGAGAGGCCGATAACATGCCATGCTGGCCAGATACCGGTTGCCTCCTGGCAGGTCGCCGCAGCCGAGTTAAGTAGGGATGTAAGCGGCAGATCGCTAGCCCAAGAAGTGTTGCTTGTCACAATACCGTCCATCACAATCTCAGCTTCACCAGTAAGAGGGGGAGCGAATTGCTCCCTAGCCTTGAGCTCGGACGCCCAAGCTCTCCCAAGAGCTTCAGCTTGACGGGCCTCCTGATTAGGAGACTCGCATTCAACAAGCTCATCACCGGAGTCATCGGCATCTGGGATGGCAGCACCTCCAGGAAACAGGTCGGACAGACGATGATCATTGTTATCGCTGTCCGATGAGACATGGCTGCGCGCAGCAGCCAAAGCGGAGCCACCAACCACGTCCAGAGGATCCGGAAAGATATCAGAGATAAACCCTGACACAGGCGGCACAGAGGATCTTGCCGTCCTTGATCCATCTCGGTCGCTTGCCAAAAGACCTCTGAGGCCCGCTGCAGCTTGCCGAGCGGAGTCCGACATGGAGCCGACGGAGCTAGACTTCTAGAACGCGAGCCTGCAGCCCCACACCTTACGGCCCCAAGGACTCAAAACTAAAAATTCAAGCTTGATGCCCGACTTCGGATGTAGTCGCTTCACACAATTCCATGCGTGCATGAAAGTGCAAAGCATGTAAATTGAAAAGGTCGAAACACAAATGAAATATCTCAAACTGTGTGACGACAAATTGAAGAAATGTTTTCTCGAGCTACCGCGAGGTGAAACATACAGTTCAGGGTTCGCTACGTGCCTACGCCCCACACAACAGACAGAAGTATCCGCACGCAGACACTAGACGTGCTTGCAAACCCAGAGAGGCATCATCCAACGGAAGCAAGAGGCGGAAGGTGCCTTTGTAGACACCTGGGTAAGAAAACATTTGAGGATCGAAATCCCCGCGTCTAGCCAGGAGAAGTCCACGATGGAAGCCTTCCATCACGCGGGCAGCAATCGCGATTTGAGGCTGGCCTACAAGAGAGGCCGGCACCTCCGCCTTAACTCTATAATCTCCACAAACCGCAAACCATTGTGCTCGACTGGCGCGACCTTTACGAGCTGAAGGAGGGAAGCCGCATCAGGCTCGTCTGCTAGGGCCCTGGTTAAATAGAGCACCAGCTGCACCGGGAGCAGGACACCACAGTGAAGAAGGGGAGTACCCTGCTGCGGATCGGTGCTCGTCCTCGTGCTCTCCTCTGCCGTGGGTCGCTGAGTGTTGGAGCCGGCGCCACGGTGGCGTTTGCCGGTTTTGGTGGGCTCTCTCCGAGGTGCGATGGACATTTGGATGAGGCTACCGTCACGAACAGGTGACTTGATGCCTGCCTTAGCGTTGGGCAGCGAGAACCGGAGTCCATCCAGCTCATCCAATAACAACCACCACCAAATCTCCGGACGCGCTAACTCATACCACGATAGATCAAAGACACGGTCGGGCAACCGCAGTATTGGGTCGCAGAACTGGGCCAGCGCAACGGAGACTGCCAACAGGGGTGTGAGGCACACCCGGAAAGCCTCACTAGCCGTGCAGTGCCGCAGCATGAGAGCACGATCAGCAAAGTCAACCACTCGCGCGCCGAAATTCTGAGGGCTGACCTTGACCTCGCATGCCGGCAAAGAAAGGGGAAGCGACAGAAGGGAAAGGCAATCCGTCCCGCTGGGGAGAAGATCCCGAAGCGCCAGCACACTAGCAGGGCCTTCGATGAGCTGCTGTCGCCCACCCTTAGTCTGGTAGCTGCGAAGGATCTCGTGCTGTTCAGCAAAGTCATCCTCCTCCTCAGGCGGGACACAGCGGCTAGGAACGGCATCAACCCCGGGTACCAAACGGTCCGGCGGGGTGTCAACTGCGTTCAGCAAGGCCGCCACCCTCTGGCCCCACGCAGTGTCAGGAGCCTTGGGAGTGGAGGCAGCACAGCTTTGGTTGCGAAGCTCAGCCGGTCAGGCAAGGCAAAACCATCTTTGTCATAGAGGGCACGGGGTAGACCTGTGGTGGCGACCGGTGGGAGCAGGGCATCAGGCAGGTAGGATTTATGCAGGAGCGTCGACACCAGGCGTTAGCAGCAGTGTGTCGACCGTGTCAGAAGCAACAGCATACAGGTAAAACACCCCTGGCACAGAGGCGACCAGCAGCCCCGCGGCCTCATCTTGACCCCGGCACACAGTTGTCCGCCTATCAACTGCGATGTGCGCCCCGATTGAAGACCGGTGATGCGGGGAACGGAAGGCGCTATAGACTCGCTTCGGCGGTTTCAAGCCGACCCCCTTATGGGCACGTAGGCGGTGGAGACTAAACCGAGGTGGGTTGGTAAACTCTAGCAACCCAAAGACGGGGTTCTTGGTGTCGAGCACCGGGTAGAACGGGCGTGCGCGGATGGGCTGCCCAGTAGGCTCCGGCAGCCGTTCTAGTCTCGCCAGACAACGGACAGCCCCTGTGTTTTGTTCCGTCGCGATCGTGCACACCAAAATCCAAAAGTCCAAAGCCCACTGCACGCGTGAGCGGCTTCCAGACAGGAGCGCGATGGCCAGAGTCGCAGGAAAGCAACTCACAACCTGCCGGCGACGCATACCCACACCCAAGGACAAAACCAGTCGTTCCTGGAGTGCAAGGCGCAGGGACGGCGCGGACGTCGGCGTCCAGCGACAACAAGTCGCCCGTCACAGCACGCAGGTGGCCGGGCAAGTGATGCAGACCGTGAGGAGCAAATTGTTGTGCGTCGAGCCCAAAGCAGCGTAAGCCAGGGCTCCGCCCCAAAGGCAAAACCGTGACCAAGGTCACCCATTACGAGAGTGCCCACCGAACCTGGAAAGACTCAAGTGGTGGTGCGTAGCGCCCAGAGCAGGAGTGGCATGGAGGGTGAAGAGAACCTAAACGACGTATGTCGTCGGTTGCAACGGCTTCCACGGGGAAAAGCGACCTCAGCCAGATTGACCCGACTTGCCTCAAGAGGTCCGTCACAACCAGGCCACCCAATCCAATTGCTAGTGCACTGGCAACCAAGCCTGCACCTGCGATGTCCAGGAAGCAAATTATGGTGCATCGCAACCACAGAGCAGTGCCAGCCAGGGCTCCACGAAGGCAAAACGGTGACCATGATCATCCATTTCGAGCGTGCACACCAGATCCAGACTAGACTCAAGTGGTGGTGCATAGCGTCAGAGCAGGGGTGGCATGAAGGGTGGAAAGAACTTCAACGACGTATGTCGTCGGTTGCAAGGCTTCCACGAGGAAAGCGACCGCAGCCAGAGAAGAGGCGACTTGCCTCAAGAGGTCCGTCACAACCTGGCCACCCAAGTCCCATTGCCAGGTGCACTGGCAACCGAGTCTGCAGTATCGGAGTCCGATTCGGCATGGCGGCAAGGGCCCGCCCGCCCAGACAGTTGAGAAGAAGAAGTGGGCGACGGATGTAGCCGCGCTGCCATAACATACGCCGTCAGTTGCCTGCATTCCAGGGCGCGTCGGTCCGCGAGGGGGGGCTTACCCGCCTACCCACGTGTGAGACCTAGTGAGGGAAACGAAACCATGCACTACCGCGTACTAGACGTGTTGAGGACGGTACCGCTACAATTCTGGGGGTTAGCGAGGTAGGGGAAATCACGAAGAATCACTGTACTGCATGTGACCGTGAGACCAAAGAACAAAACAGCCTTCCAGTCATGAACACTACTAC